AAAAGGAAGGAAGGAAAGGAAGATAGAAAAGGAAAGGAATGCGATAGAAAAGGAAAGGAAGGAAAAGGAAAGGAAGGGAAGGATGATAGGAAAAGGAATGGAAAGGGGAAAGGAAAGGAAGAAAGAAAAAGGAAAGGAAAAGAAAGGAAGGAAGGAAAAGAGAAAGGGAAGGAAGGGAAGGAAAGAAAGGAAAAAGAAAAGGAAGGAAGGAAAGGAAGATAGAAAAGGAAAGGAATGCGATAGAAAAGGAAAGGAAGGAAAAGGAAAGGAAGATAGAAAAAGGAAAGAATAGGAAAGGAAGGGAAGGAAAAGAAAAGAGAAAGGAAGGGAAGGGAAGGGAAGGAAGACAGAAAAAGGAAAGGAAAAGAAAGGAAGGAAGGAAAAGAGAAAGGGAAGGAAGGGAAGGAAAGAAAGGAAAAAGAAAAGGAAGGAAGGAAAGGAAGATAGAAAAGGAAAGGAATGCGATAGAAAAGGAAAGGAAGGAAAAGGAAAGGAAGATAGAAAAAGGAAAGAATAGGAAAGGAAGGGAAGGAAAAGAAAAGAGAAAGGAAGGGAAGGGAAGGGAAGGAAGACAGAAAAAGGAAAGGAAGATAGAAAAAGGAAGGGAAGGGAAAGAAAGGAGGAAAAGAAAAGGATATACAGACATAAGAAATGGAAAGAAAAACATTGGTGGTTGACAAACACAGCAAAACAAGAGGAGGTCAAGAGGAAGGATTTGGGAATCCATGAGACGATGGAGCTTGTCATGGACAAATCCAGAACTGAGAACGAGGAAGCTGGTGGACGGAACGGAGAACAAGCAACCGAAAACAGAGGAAGGGGTTCGAGGTCCACGCTCTTCCATGGAGGCATCGGGCCCACAAGGGCTCAGGTTGGAGGAGGACCCTCTGGTGCCCCATACAGCTCGGCCAGCGTTCGGAAGAGGGGCCCCCATTCTTCCAGATACTCGTACCCGCCGGCATCGCTGTCCCCGGCGCAGGAAGAGCCGGGGGAGCTGAGAGACCCGGCGGAAGAGCCCTGGCCTTCGTAGCCGTACACCTGGATGGAGTCGTACGGAGGCACGGAAGGATCGGCGTCCACCTCGCTCAAGCGGGCTGTCAGAAAACTGGCCACGTCGTGAGGCTGCGGTGGTACCCGGGTGGACAGGGACGGCGGGAAGTGTGGACGGGGCAGGACGTCCCGCCGGAGGAGGCGCCGTTGCTGCGAGGGTGGAGGGGCAGCGTCCGGGTTCTGCAGGGCGGCCATGTCGAAGGCCTCGGTGTCTTCTTCTCCGCCGCCTTCATCGTCATACGTGATGATGTTCTCACGGACGTCTTCCTCCTCAAAGGGCAGCAATGCAGCCTGTTTCTGCCTCCGGAGGGCGACAAAGAGCAGGACCAGGGCTACAGGTGAGTGGGAAGTTGGTGCATTGGTGAAGTCGGATGGACCAACAGGAGGAGAAGATGAGATGTTAATCACAATAACAACCCATTGCAAACACCCTGCGTTACTTCTTTCTGCATGTAATGATATGTGGGAATGGCCTTGGGAGACAGGGAGAAGAGGCACAGACAAGGGTACAATAAAAGGTAGCTGAGCCTGCAGCTGTATAGCAGGACAATTGGCTCTGAAGACACCCTCCCTAGTTTCATGGGCTGTAAAGGCGACGTGGGAAGCACAGCGGACAAGTTAATTCTACATTAATTTAAGGTTATATTAACAGAGGGCGGCGGTGGCTCAGCGGTTAAGACACTCGGCTTGTCGGCTGGAAAGCCAGCTGCCCAGGTTTGAGTCCCAACCTCCATGCGACAGGGTGAGTTCCCGTCCTCACCCCAGCAATCCAACAGCTCGAAAGCTCACAAATGCAAGGAGATAAATAGGTACCACCTCGGTGAGAAAGTAATAGCACTCTGCGACGTCATGCTGGCCATGTGACGGTGAAAATGTCTTCGGACGGCGCTGGCTCAACGGCCTTGAAACGGAGGTGAACACTGCCTCCTATAGTCGGCAACAACTAATGGAATAAAATCTGTACGAACACTTTTATCTACTTTACCTGGAACATTGCAAGTTTGAAGGGTCATTTCTCCCATCCTCTTGTCCCCTTTACAGCCCATGAGACTTGGGAGGGTCCCTCCTGAGAGCCTTCCCCTGTCGTCATTCCTTCAGGAGTCTCAGCTGCCTCTTATCTGACTCTTCCTTAGTTTGCAGCTCTTCCTCCTGTTTCCCAAGGTCGCTTGCACATACCATTGTTGTTCTGACCCAGCTCTCCAAACACAACATATCCTCTGACATGAACGCAAAAGATTCCTTTATTAGGAATGCCGGCAGCCCCGGCAAAACGTTTCTCTCACGAGTCCGTCCATCCATCCGTCCGTTAGATGAATAGTTATCGGCCACACCTATTCCTCTCTACCCCCTGCCTTTTATCCCCAGGGGTCTCGTTAGCAGTGGTGGCTCTTCCTTCCCCAGGATCAGCCCATAGATTTCCACTGCCCTCCTCTCCTCTGCCTTCCACGCATCCGGACGTCAGGCACTGGACAGCTGTTCCTCCTCTTCCTCATCAACCACCTCCAGACCTGGGGGCTGTTGACTCTCTATCTGAGGACTGACAGAAGGCCCAGGATCTATCTCTGTCTCTGTCTCTGTCTCTCTCTGCAGCTCCATTCCCTCTCCCCCCTCGC